CTAAGTGTTGGGGTTACCACTGTAAATGGTGTTTTGTTGAAAAGATTAATGTGGCTGCGTGTTGAAGAGTATTTAACATTTATACATTTTTTAAAATGAAGGAAAAACAATGGAAAACCGATTTGTGTTTCAACGATAAAACATTAAAATCAACAACAAATACAAGGTAATTTTTGTAATGTGTGAATAAGGAGAAAAAAGTAGTTTCCCTTTATCTGTTAGTTGAATATGGTGATATTTAAATAAGCAAGTTTTCTGAATATAATGTTCTGAGTTCTGTGTTAAAATAGAATGTGTATTCAGAAGATCGTACAGTTGTGTGTTTTTTAACTAACATAGTTGTTGCAACTTGGCTTGTTCACAAAGAACTGAAGGTGAATGATATTCAAGTTCTGAGTCTGTGCGTGCAGAGTGAGTAGAATGAATAATCTGTGTAGCGTGTGAGTAGTTGAGTTCTACTGTCGTCAACTCTACTGTTTAATTTGGGAATGAATCCGAACTTATGTTACTATCAGTGGCTCCCAGCACGAACGCGGGATAAATTTTGAAAGAACAGGAAAAATATCTGATTGGATGAAAAATTAACCAATCGGTGATTTTATAACAAAAGCATGTTTGTGAGTTAACGGTAAGAAAAATTCAATGTGGTGAATGCGATCAGTAAATTGTCCTGTGATATTTAATATTTATTATTTGACCAATCACAGTTGAGAAAAAATGTAGGCGTGACAATCATAGTAGTAATCACTACATTAGTAATCTGTTTATAACAGAATGGATATATGTGTGTATGAAGAAATAATTAAAACGTAGTTGCGTACCTTGTATTGCTGAGTGAATATTGTTTTATGCAGTTGATAACAATAAACAACTTTTATAAATATTAGTCGAAAAGGTTTGTTGAAGTACCAAGCTACTGTTATTTGCAAAGTTCGTATCGTTGAAGAACCTCTAGATGGGGGGGAAATTCGTAGAGTAGCTGGCGAAATGAGTTAGTTTGAATCGCTATGTCGAGCGACGAATATTTTGTGTTGAAGTCGAAATCAGTGTTGCTAACCAATGATCAGAGCCGGGTTCCTGCTTTTAAAGATCCATCCAAATCCCCGTGCTTATTCCACCTCGTTCGGCGGAACATGCAACAAGCAACGTGATTGGTCGATTCACAGTTGAAGGAATTGGTTGGCTAAAATCAATAGTGTAAGAACAGTACATTATAAATTGGGGTGTAGTCAGCATATGGACGATCCCAATAAAAGTGCCCTCTAGAATCCAGACGCACGAATACTGACATCTATATAACCAAAGAAAAAAACAACAATCCAATGTACAGAAACATTCTCAACCAAAACTCATTTCTGAAAATTCCTGATGAAGCTTTAATAAAAGTGAACCATGTTAAATTTATAAACGTCTCATGTTTGTTTCTTCTTCTATCAGATTTAATCCATAATTTGATTTATATATATATATATATATATATATATATATATATATATATATATATATATATATATATATAATATAATATCTTTTCTATGGTGCTTTTTCTATTTCATATATTTCACAAATCCTAACGAGAGAGGAATGAAAATTAATTATGATTTCCTATTTTTGTTTTCTTTTTTTTTTTTTTTTTTATTTACTCTTTAGAGTGTTTGAATATATTCGTTTTTATTGGAATTTTTAACTTCGTACCCCCAGTAAAATATTCCGTTGTCAACCCACAACAAATGCGGGTTTTTATGGTTACATTTAACTGAAAACCAAAAGCACACTGATTTTATGTCGGCCATTTGCATATTTCCGTTATGGAAATTGACCAATCAGAACACGAATTCACCAGACGACATAGTTACATTGTCTGATATGTTTCTTTAATTTCTGATTGAATAGTTCGACTTGTAATCGCCAGAGAATACTTTTAGAAGAACCGACATTGCGGAATAATAAATCCATTTAAAGTGGCATGTAATAAACGAACACCATTCAAAATTCCTTTTACGGCATATTATCTTATAAAGATCGAAATTCGTGGTACTTAAAGCTCGGAATAAATCTGATTTGCTATTTCATAATGAATTCTGTTCTGTTTTAATTTTTTTTTTTTTTAATCTTCAGAAATTTAATCACTTTAGTTAAGTACACTGAACTTAATAAATACAGAAGCATAATAGAAAAATTACCAGGCTTTTTGTATATATATTCTAATCTGATAGTGTAATTGTTAGCTTGAATGTGAAATCGGCGAGTCGAGTTCGAATACCAGTCGATGTTATATTCACTTTCGTGCAAATAACATTAGAAAAAGTATGGATCTATCTATCCCACCTATCTTCAGTCTAGGTTCGCAACTAGTCAAGGAGAATGAAAAATACCGAATTCCCAACTCTGGTAGATGGAACGCATAGTGGGTTATTAGTTATAGTTAAGTGTATGAGTGTTGAAACAGATTAGTTTGATTTGGCCTTGTTAGTTAGCCCACCATAAGAGGGGTATAAATCAAGAAAATCAGATTGTAAAGTGAAACAACAAATTTATATACATATAAATCAATTAAGGTCTCTACAAATAAAATTAATGTATTTTGGTTGATACAAGGTCGTCAAAATGTTCGTAGTAGTCCTTGCAAGAATGAGTTTATGTGTACGTAGGCAGGAACGTATATGTGGATGTAGGGTAGGAATGTCTTTGAAGTAATCGCTCAGTCTTAAAATGTTCCGTTCGTTTATCAAGTATAAAAGAGGTGAGCGAGAAAGGTAGAGATAATAATAACGATCGCTTGACGTTTGCCAAGGGACGTGTTAATACGCTCGTCTCCTTCTCTTTGGTGACAGGCGAACTTGCCAGTCTTTTATTTTGTTTGTCAGGCTTGAAAAGGTCATTTGGGAATTCACTCCCGGATATCATTCGGGCCTTTCCATTGGACAACGAACAAACTTCGCGTCGGCTCGCGAAAAGGTCCGTAAAAGAATTTGTTTCTGAGAATTGAAGATTATTTGAATTTTGTTTTTAAATGTTTCCTAGTTTTCTATTGGCCAAAAAACATTTCGCATCAAGGTGTGAAATTTCACGAGTTTTGTTTTGGATTCGCTTTTGCGTGTGTGTTAAGCAAAGTTTGTAAATTCGAGTCTTTTTTATTTTATAACAAAATCAATGAGTCGGTGCTTAGCATTTGAATTTTAAATCTAGATCTTGTTTTGTTCACTACAAACTCATTAGCGCGGAAACATTAAGGGAAAACTAATCCTTCATCCGTGTAGGTAAATAAATACACTATAGTCATCGTCAGGCATGATGACTAATATAGTGAATTTATTTACATTGGTTATATACAGACTATGGCGATGGTAATATCTGCTGTTTCCGTATCAGGAAACATTCGGTATTCGCTGACTGAGAAGTCGGTGCTGCTTTCGGGTGAAATTCATAAAAGCTTTCTCTTTTCAAGTTTAAATTAGGAACACGTATGTAACTCCAGAACATGGCGGACTCAGAGATTGAACCCACCATAAAGAAGTGTTAAGAAAACAAACAAGATCGACATATATATATATATATATATATATATATATATATATATATATATATATATATATATATATATATATATACACACACACATACATACACACACAAGTATATGTATTAAACAACAAAAGTTACAATTGGTATAGACATTAACATTTGTTTGTGTGTGAACGTAAAGAGTTTGTATTTTGGTGAATGTTCGTACGTGCGTGTATGTGTGTATAATGTTTATGGCGTCTCCCACAAGTGGGAAGACGCAATCTTCTGCGAGAGCTTACATTGT